TAGGGTATTGCTCCTGGGTAAGAAGCATACCTAAATATCACATTTAAATTGTCCGGAAGTCCTAAGTTACTCACACAGCCACCATTTAGTTTTTTTCAGTTATTATATCATTTTTTCAGTTATAAATTTTTTTCCAAAGAATGGTTAAACATACGAAATGGAAACTTTGCACAAACAATTATGACAACTTGACAAAGCTACAAATATATTATGACGATTTTTCAAATTCATAAAACAAAATGGCGGCCGTATATAAATATTGTTTCTTGAATAAACGTCGATTTAAAAAAAAAAAATTAACGGCCGCCATTTATGAATTTGAAAAATTGTCATATTTTTTTTAGCTTTGTCTAGTTGTCATAAATGTTTGTGCAAAGTTTCCATTTCGTATTTTTAACCATTCTTAAAAAAAAAAATAATAACTGAAAAAAAACAAAATGGTGGCTGTGCGAGTAACTAAGGACTTCTGGACAATTTAAATATGATATTTAGGTATGTTTCTTACCCAGGAGCAATGCCCTAGAATATTGGTAGAGAGTTCCGGGACACCCTGTATAATAGTGTCACTGAACAGCGTGATGAAGGCCTACAGTAATACATTATATTTAGCTAAAGTTTATATGTTTATACTTATTTAACATAAGATAACCTAATTGGGAATTTAAATAAAAAATGTTTAAAACCATCTTTTATATTTATCAACATCTTAGTTTTAGAAGCTGTCCCGTTTTAAAAATGTCCAATCCCATAATAGACTGTTTATAAAAAAAACAAGAGTTATATAAACACTGTTTCTTTAATTGAAACAGCATGCACGTTTACGGCTGCTTTTTTCGTGAGGATAAGGTTTATGTCCCAACTCCCCCTGGGAATAACGAATCAGTAAATTTAGCAAGTGGAATTATGACTGTTGGTCAATAAAGTGAATATTTCATTTACAGTTCTGTTACTATAAATCTATATTTTATATTAAACATAATAAAATTGTATAACAGTATCTTTGGTATGTTTTCATGGTTTGAATTTTTTATTTAATAGTCTTTATGTCTTTTATTATATATTTCTCTAACTCAAGATTTCAGTCCATTCACGTTCCACGGGGAAACGTATTTTGCCTGAAAAAGAAAAGAAAGAACAATAGAATTGTTACAAGAAATGAAACTTGATTTGCTAGTCGGTAATCCTACAAGTCTACGAATATTGAAATCCCGGGGGAAATATAACAGACATTACGTCTCACTGGTCTGTCCTCTTGTCCACTTATTTACCTCAATACATGAATTGTGAAAAAAGTTATATTTCTTCCAAAATAAATGTCCATAAATTCTCATCTATCTTTAAGATTCTTGGCAAGAGCTGGCAGCAGAAGTATAACGCAGTCTCTAGTGGAAACGAGCTTTTGTAAAATTCAATAGTGGACCCCTTTGAGGAGCTCTTACGCTACTGACAGCATTCTTGTTTTCAGACATCAACCTCAAGCTTGAATTTAAAGGGACAATATTTATTCTAAACGATTAGAAACCACTCGACAGATTTTAATGAAACTTCAGCCATTATTAAGCATTATTCAAGGATGGTTTGTGTGAAGCTTGGTGCAGATCCGTCAAAAGGGCTCCGCCCCAGTGGCTCTGGAGTTTCCCATATTAACCTTATGAGTATCATATTTAAATGTAATTAAAGAATCTTAACAGCTGGTTCAACTAAACAATTTGATTCTGTGATGTTCAAAAAAGTTAATATGTTTACCAACAGAGTGTGCAGCATTATTATTCTTTTAAATTCATCACAACAGCTAATTTGCAACCAAAAGGTGAGTGAGCGTAGCGAACGAACTTCAACCTAGAGGCGAGTTAGCGTAGCGAACGAGCTAGCCTGAAGGCAAGTGAGCGTAGCGAACGAGTTCAAAACTAAAGGTGAGTGAGCGTAGCGAACGAACTTCAACCAGGACGTGATTGAGCCATACGAACGAGCTCATCTTGAAAATGAACGAGCATTTGACATAAAACCACATTAGGACAGGACGACGTCTGTCGGGCCAGCTAGTATTTATATTCTTTAAAGGGTGCAACCGCTGTGTGTATGTTTACATTTTAATGTTTGAAAAATTACCTTTACAACTTCATGTAGCTTTAATAAGTAAAACATTCCTCTACAGGATAGGCTAAAAATCATGAATTGTACATAATTGTTAAGGGTAATCTGAACATTTGTACGGTATGCTATGAAACGAATCATTATTATTATGTACCCTAGTAATATGTACTGGGATACTTTCTGTACCCAATTTTTAAACCATGCATTATCAGATTCCGTTCAAAAACAAAAGATATATACAGGCTGTACTAACAATTTGGGGATATAATTTAAGTACTGATCACTTGGGTCAAAATAAAGCGAAAATCAAGAATTTTTTTTTTTTTAATCGCTTTGTTAAGAGACAATTTATGGAAAGTGTAGGCTAACCAAAATACAAACTATTCTGCAAGGTGCATCATTCTATGTAATAAATAGTAACTTTATTACAACAAAGAATAACAACAAAATTTTACAAAACAAAAACAAATGAAAATAAAAAAGAAATACAAAAAGATTTAGAAAACTCTTCTTAAAATTCTGTAAAGTAGTTCAAACGAAGGTGATGTGCACGTCAGAGTTCTTGAGCCAATAATGAAGTGGTCATGATACTATTACATTCAAAGTTTTGTTGGTTGAAATGATTATTGAAATAAAAGCTTGGTGACAAATCGTATTTGGGTCCAAAACTAAAGCTGCATTACATCGAAATAGAAAATTTTACATTTGTGAACTGCTGAAACAGTTCAGTTTCAATCTTATAAAATCTAAATATCTTGATGCTAATGCAGTTTCTTATTTAAATGAAGATTAAGTTGCTGACAAGAGCCGTGAAAGCTTGGTTTATGTTAAGCAATATTATGCATCATAGGCCTATGATGTATTAAAACACAAACAATACAATCAAAGATATGATATCTTTCGTTCTTTTAACTAATAATCACAAAAAGACAAAATAAAATACATACATCATTAAACAAGGAGAGTGTTCCAACAATAAGCCAACTTTAATCGAATGACTTCAACTCAAAGAGTGAAATGGACTGTGTGTCAATAAAAAGTTTGACCTACTTGTTGGGAACTTTCAATGCTAATCCTAGAGTGATCTTGATATTTTGCATTGAATATGCAAAGTGTTTACTCCACTGTAACATCTTATTATTATTCAGTGATGAACCATAGTATTTATTACACGGTTCTCTTTGCAAAAATAATTTTATATAGATGAAATTAAATAAACTCGTTATCACTCTTTATTGAGGCGAACTTACAGTTAACCTCTAAAAACAAATAATAATAATAAAACATTAACAAAATAAAACAACAAAGTTTAAATAAACAAATAGATCTAATAACATGACAAAAATGTAATTCCCTCACATATAATCACAATCACACACACATACACCTTCTGCTGCACCCAGGCACATTATACCGCCACGTCACAGTCATCAGGTTAAGGTAATGCTGTTTCAGCGCCACCGTCAGTCGGGGTTGGTTTCCTGAGGATTAATATAGTATGGATCAATATATTACGCTAATAATTATAAGGTTTTATATACAGGGTGTTCAAAAAAGGTGGGGAGATAAATTACGTATTGAATACTTGGGTCAAAATAAAGACAAAATTTAGGAATGACATTTTTCCCAAAATCACTTCGTTAACCAGATATACTTCATTTAGTGTTTTTTACATAAACATTTTTATCTTTGATTTTTTTTCAACCAATCTTTATGAAATTTGGTATGTAGCCTATGTTAAGGTAGGAGAGACCCATCTTAGAAAAAATCCATCTTGATTCACCCTAAAATTTCCAAATAGTTGCCATTTAAAAAAATTTTCTAACTTAAATTACTCAAGAATGGCTTATTTTATGAAAGAATTTCCATAGCAATTTTCTTTAGCACTTTTAATTCTCTATCAAACGATACCAAGCTCTAAAAGATCGAATAAAAATTAGCTGAAATATTACAAATTTTAGCTGTAAAATGTCCAGATAACATAGATTGATACAGTAGTACGTAGCCAAAGTGGTCAGAGTAAGAGTTGAGTTGTATTGACATCCTGCACTGCACGTGTAACAACGGTGATGTGGCATAATATCCAACTACACAACTTGGCTCTCTCTGGTGATGAGCGTTCTGGTTTGTTAAAGGGACTAAACAGATTGACCAACATGTGCTGGTGTAGCTTTACCACGAGCGAATACACTGATAATTATCAATGGGCAAGTATTTGTGAAACACTATTCAGTATAAACTGGCTCCATATATATTTTTATTTTGTATTAAATATTTATATAACAATAACAACAATTGTTAAAATAATGACTGGGACGGGTAGCGTCGTCCTGTAATCCAGCTAAAAGGAGGTAACGAATTGTGGATATTTACAGGCATGCCCTGTGGATGCGATACTCCCTGGTGTGGATTAACGTCCACACGAGTGAGTACTACGACTATCCGCAGTACTATCCTGATAATTAGACCAATTCGTATATACCAAGGTAAAAATGTGGTTCGGATTCCACTAACTGTAGGTCCCAGGTCCCTTAGTTTCCATTAGCTGTATAGGCTATTAATTACCAGCTGTGTCTAAGGAATGTCGGCCTTAGTCACTAACAAGACTACAAGATCGCGCCACTCATCCTACACTCATCTCCATTCATACTTGGCTTAAAATATCTACTTTGTATAGTTGACATTTCATCGAACAGTATTGAACAGTATTATAAAATATTTTTTGGTATTTTTTTTAATAGAAGTTTATTCAGCTTAGCATTACATTTAATTTAATAGAAACTATTTTTTTCACACGCAAATTTAAAGTTATTGGCCTATTCTAATACTTTGCACATAGCTAAACAAGAATTAACCTTTTGTATATGTAATATAAGTAATTTTTTATACACCTCCGAATAATTTAGAAACTACTACCTGGTAATACCTGGAAATGACTATCTGGTAATACCTGAAAATGACTATCTGGTAATACCTGGAAATGACTACCTGGTAATACCTGGAAATGACTATCTGGTAATACCTGGAAATGACTACGTGGTAATACCTGGAAATGACTACGTGGTAATACCTGGAAATGACTACCTGGTAATACCTGGAAATGACTATATGGTAATACCTGGAAATGACTACCTTGTAATACCTGCAAATGACTACGTGGTAATACCTGGAAATGACTACCTGGTAATACCTGGAAATGACTACCTGGTAATACCTGGAAATGACTACCTGGTAATACCTGGAAATGACTACGTGGTAATTCCTGGAAATGACTACCTGGTAATACCTGGAAATGACTACGTGGTAATACCTGGAAATGACTACCTGGTAATACCTGGAAATAACTACGTGGTAATACCTGGAAATGACTACCTGGTAATACCTGGAAAAGACTACCTGGTAATACCTGGAAATGACTACGTGGTAATACCTGGAAATGACTACCTGGTAATACCTGGAAATGACTACGTGGTAATACCTGGAAATGACTACCTGGTAATACCTGGAAATGACTACGTGGTAATACCTGGAAATGACTACCTGGTAATACCTGGAAATGACTACGTGGTAATACCTGGAAATGAGTACGTGGTAATACCTGGAAATGACTACGTGGTAATGCCTGATGTATTAAATATAATACATTAAATATTATATATTAAATATAATGTATCTACTGATTATCGTACCAGTTAGTTCTCAGTTTTACTTTTGGCTTTACAGCGGTTTTTAAATTAATGATCCTGGCTAGCCACACATAGGGAGGACTAACCCTCTCATCATTACGAATATTTGGATTATATACTAATAACTCTGTAAAACAAAGACTATTGAATAAATCTCATGAAAAAATATCAACTTACAAGCACGGTGTGTCATTGGTATCTAAAATCTGTCAATTAAGTAGAATTAGATTAAAATAGTTGTGGATTATTTTTAAAAATTTAAAAATTAAATTCATGCTTTATTCAATCAAAAACCTCTGCCGTATTTGGAATAATGTAGACACTAAATACAAATGAACTAAAGACCATATTGCCAATAGAATCTAACGGAAGATATGAACACAATGACGGCCATTTGTCGCGTAATATTGTTGTGGCAGGTGCAAGATATTGTGTGGAACGTAACTGTGCCAATCCGACAATGTGTTCATGGCGACAATAATAGTACTTTGTATTTACAGTTAATTTTCTTCGAGTGGTATTATGGCGTTTATTTATGCCAGTGTCATTTTTTACTTTTTTTTATGCAAATGTACATAACCCTGGTCTTGTCTTGTTACTGTCTAAATTCGAGCTTTTGATAGACAGCCAACATTAATTAATTTATAGAAAAAAGGAGCAATTTTCGCTATTGTGTAAATAATTGTATTGTATTAATACAATAATTTATTAAAATGAATAATTTACACGCTTCTGTTTCTCGTACAGTAAAGTTGTATCCAATAAATGTGCAACAAGCAACAATGAACTTTGAATTTCAAATTACAAATAATTTTCCCAGTCTGTTTTGTAAACTATGCTATAAACATAGCCTATAACTACAATTATACAGTACCTTCCGTCATAATTTACTTATTATCTGATTATAGCCATAATGCGCTTAAATTAAGAAAAAAACTTAGAAATCACTAACGTATTTTATAAAACTCGAACAGCATTAAAATGATTGGCACAAACTACCACAAACTACTGTTATTATTATAGTTGTATTCGGAGTGTGATGTAAATTAAATTTTATTAACTCTAACATATTATACCAATCTTATTAGGGATGCTCATCACATGTACATTCCACCTCATTTTCCACACAAGAGAAGCATACAAGAGCAAAATAAAACCTTGGAAGTGTTTGAACATGTAAAATTGCGATATTAGGTTTGCTGTAACGATTACTCTGAATTTCGATTAAATGACCTCGAGGCAGAAAACCTACCGAATAAGCGAATTTCAATTTGGCTGATTTGATTTTTATTAAAATATGTCCGTAAAAGATATGTTTATTCCCCAATTAGTCCTTAAAACTAGATTTAACGAGTACTTAGGTGTGCTAGGTGTGGTTAGAGTGTGGGTTTTTACCAAGTGTTAATAGCATAAAATGAATTAAATAAATTTGATCAACATACATCTATAAACAATCAAACTACGTCCGTTTTTTTCTCCATTAGAATAACTTGGGAATATGAAATGTACAGCTTTTTTAACTTAAAATTTTTCAGCAACGCTTTAAATTACAAAATTATCAGTTTTTTAAGCTCAACACGATATCTGATAATGAAAAACGGACATTTCCATGTTTTTTAGAGTAAAATCGTGTAATTAACTTTTTTTAATTTCCAAACCCTATAGTACTTCCCTTCCAAGACCCAATAGGTGTTCGTAAATTCATTCAAGTTTATTCTCCTCTACACATTCAAGCCAAATTTCATCAAAATACGCCCAAAATTATCTGAGCTATCGTTTTCACGAACAGACACGCACACATAGAACGATATTTGTATAAACGAATAGTGTTTTTCGGCTCTGGGAACATCAAAATGAAAAAGTAAGTAGGTCCGGAATCGAGGTGTAACATGACACCAACGGTAATAGCTACTTCCTTTCCCTATAGGTAAATTCGTTAAAACCAAATAAATTTTGATTTTCATAAAGTAATAATCCATGTCATTTAAATATTGATAATTACCTAATCAACAATGTAAAACTAATCACTCAATCCGGTCGGGCGTAAGTTAAATCATGGATTGCGATATTTACGAATACGTTAATTAGTAACTAACTGATTAGAGGGATATTGTATTTTAAATTGTTAGTTGGATACAGATATTTGTCAAATTACATCACCTTAGTTTTCCAGATACAAGACTTCTTTCTCATTATGTTTACTTGCTCAACAACAATTATGAGAAAAACTAAACATTTGGACCACGACAACACAGGTATAATTTATTATTTGTTGACACCAGCATTTAAGCGGAACCATAAATTGGATTGTTATCCACAGCACAGTTACCCAGCTGTCATAAATTATGTACCAAAAATTGCTCTTATTATAATGGAAAACTAGTCTACTTTATTCCATATTTTTCTGTATAAGGCCTACAGAACCGCTTTAATATTTTACATTAACCTACATTCAGTTCAAGCAGTTTTACAAAAGTGCATAAAGAACATGTCCATAGGTGGTGTTGGTCGACATATATATTGGTCAAGTCCATCTTTGATGTTTTTATTCCTTGTACTTTAGCTCAAAGTGTTTGTCTCTTTTCCAACAAGATTAAAGTCAATCGTTCTTGTGATTAGAGGTCTATGGAATACATCGGAGGACTGTTACACTTTATTTGAACGTGCAGTTACAATGAGTGATATTGTGGGATTGTTGTCCTCAATTCCCGATTGCACTTGTTAATATTATTTATCTTGTAGAAACTTTGATAGATGTCTTACAGAGTATATTGCATTACTGGTTTAAATAGTGTTTTTTAATCGTGAAATTACTTGTTTCGTTACCATAAGCTGTTGCAATACACGTGTTTGTGTTGTATTCTTATGGACTTTTTCCTAATAATAAACTGAATTTACTCTCAATTCAAATAATTATTATCTATATTAGGATGCAACTTTATTATAACTATGTCCGAAATATCTTTGGATGGAATGTGCAATATAACTTACTTCACATAAAAGTCAAGCATAAAAATATAGTATATAAAATAAATATTATTAGGATAGTGAAAATGTATGTTGTATATGTAACCATCAATTCACGTCAGACTGCATGAGTTTAATGAAATTAAATATATAGCTTAAGGGTGGATTGAAGTCTTAAATTGGACTTATTGTTCTTTTACATATATAGATCTTCTCTGAGCAAGGTTACCAAATTAGGTTTATGTAAAAATATCTACATCGTAACAGGTAATCGATTTCGATCCATCGTTGATCTTTTGGGCTGATCCATAACTTGATCAAATTCCCAAATTTGTCCTAAGTATTCATTTACGTATCTTTTCTTACTCACCGTATTTCAAATTTCAAACAATTCGTTTTTAATATTCTTTAGTAATGATTGGCTAGTATAATCCCTAAATAAGCAGCTAAGGTGACATATTTCAAATATCTCAAACATAGTTGTGTTTGCGTACACCATTATCTAATTATCTAATCATTATCTAATCAAAGTGATTAGGTAATTACATTGTTATCAAGTTACTGCAAACAATTTTGCTTATTATGTTGGTCGAATGAATATTATATACAAATTCTTGAAATAATGTTAATTACACAGTACAAATATCCATACTGACTATCTACATAACGACTATTCACACAAAAATTAAGTTCCGTGGGCCATCCAGCAAGTAAACTAATACCACTATCCTATTTCATATTCAAGTTTAAGTTACTGTCATGTATCACACGAAATTTTGTAAGATAATTTAGTTAAAAACGAGTATTTTTCTCATTTTAGTTGGTAAATAAAATGTTGCATTTGATGAAAATCTATAATAGACAACAGGAAACTCTGCCAGGGACACAATATGACTCCTTTTATTATTATTTTAGAGCTTGGCATGACATAAAGATGTGGCTATGATTATAGTATTATTCATAATCAAGGATAATACAACATTTAAATTCAAAATTAATTGAATTCCTGTATTTTCATGTTCATTTTCAATATTGCTTACTTATTTTGTCACCATTAGCAATAAAGGCCAATTTTTACAAATAAATTATTTTTCACATGAATTGCGTTGGGCAAAACCAAACACAATAAATGCAATCAATATAAGCAATAAATATTGATCATTTACTATGTGTGAAACAAGAGATTCTATTATCATGATGTAAAAGCTAAAGTTTTAATTTTTTTATATAAAATAAACTTAGTTTAATCAAGTTTTCCACATCATGTGTTGCTGTCAGTTACTGATTTCTATACACTATCTTTTCAACCAAACAAAACCCACAGGTGAGCTTATTAAAACGTTTTTATTAACTCATTTTCTTGTCCGGTACAAATGTTGTAATCAATTTTATACTGGCTTCCTGATGAGCTAGAGACTTCAAACTCGAAACATAGCTCACAAATGGATGACAATGCAATATTATATCATTTAATTTTTATATTTAACTTGGGATACGCCCCATGGGCTTCTAAATTTTTCAAGCTTACATTTTGAAAGAATGAAAATATATCAATTAGTTTAAGTCAGCGGTAAATACTTAAATTTGACAGAAGAGCAGAACTTAAGAGGTACAGGTTTAAAAAATCAAGAAACATCCGATTACAGATAATAAGGTTTTGGTTTATGTATTAACAGGCCATATAAAATAGATATAACATATTTACACATTAAAGACTAAAAATTAGAAAAAAAATTCTAAATAAAAATACTTTTTAAAAATGCCACATTTTTTAACTCACTAAAAGGTAAGAAATAATTTATAAATATGTTGGGAGAATAAATACTTGTAAGAATTAAAACGAAAAACGTGGGGCGCATGCAATAGATCATAATAGTTGAATAGGTGAAGTTAATTGTAAATTAGCTTGTGCCCCACGTTATTCTCTTAACATATTTCTAAATTATTTTATACTTTTTAGTGGGTTTAATAAAGTATTTTTATTTATAAATTACT